CCATGAGGTGACGACTATGGTTACCCCCATTATACAGATGAAGAAACTGAGGCTCAGAGAGGTCAAGTCACCCTCCCAGGGTCACATAGCTAATGAGTGACATGGCTGGGAGTTTAACCCAGTTCCATCTGGCTTCAGAACCTGTGCTCCTAACTAGACTACTCTGTGTCTCCCCCGCCCCCTTGTTTTTCCAGACCATGGCCAGCAACTAGAACCAAGGCCTGGGTGGCAGGACGGATCCACACTCTTCGCAAAAAAAATATTAAAGATCTCTCAGAAAATTCCAGCTCCAGGCTTGCTCCCTTCTTTAACTCACCTCTTCCCCTTCAGCCCTTTCCCAAAATGGTAGATCCGCTATGTAGAGACAAGAAGACCATATGCAACCTTCTCATATAAAGATGAGAAAAAAATGAGACCCAGAGAGAAGAAGGGAAGTTGCTACAGGGTGACCTGCACCCCTTTGCCTGGGAGTGAGGGGATCCCAGGACACAGGGCTTTCAGTGCTGAAGCCAGGAGATTTGGTCACCCTCTGTAGCCACGCATGATCATTGGTTTTTCAATGCAGAACACATGGTAGAACCTGCAGGAAAACTGACTTTGCCAGCTCCCTGGGCGGCTCATGCTGGAGTGGGAAGGGCCATGCTTTTTCTGCTTCCACTGATAGGCTGGGGAAGGAGGACTACAGTCCTTCATTCATTCAACAGCATTCATTCCTCGTTCCAGATGAGGGCGCAGCGGGGAAGATGACATGGTTCCTGCCCTGAAATAGCTCCTTATTTAGAGAGAAATAAGCCTATCAGAATCGTCCATCAGAACACTTCCTAGCACCTTCCTTGTGGAAATTTCAGGGCTGGGAGTATAGAGGGGAGTAGCACCAGCTGGGGAGAGTCCTTGCTGGGAGGGAGCAGATGCACGCACAGATGTGCACGCAATGCTGACAATGAGGCCGGAGCCCCATGAGCGGTTGTTGAGGTCCAAGACTGCTGCCACGCAGCCAAAAGCAAAATTAAAAACAACGAATTCCTTTACTCATGCTTTTCCTGAATACCATGAAAGGAAATATGGTCCCAGTGAGGACACACACATATATCTTTTTTTAAATACATTTTTATTTATTTCAGAGAGGAAGGGAGAGGGAGAGAGAGAAACATCAATGATGAGAGAATCATTGATCAGCTGCCTCCTGCACACCCCCCACTGGGGACTGAGCCTGCAACCCAGGCATGTGCCCTGACTAGTAATCGAACCTGGGACCCTTCAGTCCACAGGCCAACGTGGTCTATCCACTGAGCCAAACCAGCTAGGGCCACCCATATATCATTTTTAATATTAATGTTGTTTCATTACCCACCTTTTAAAATCATACTTCTAATTTTGAAAGTTGAAAAGGTACAACATAGCAAATAATGTAGGACACATCCAAGTAGCTTCCCTCCAGAATGGTCAAATTTTACATTTTTCCTTCATGTTTTCTGAAAGGAATAACTACAGTAAAGGTGGAGACTCCTTTGTACTCTTCCCAGAGGTCACCATCATCATGGGTGTGGGGTCATTAACCCTGTTACTGCTTTTCCTTTAGGGCACATAGTAGGATAGCTCTTGCCTGCCCCCTTGAAGTTCGGTTTGGCCACGTGGCTTGCTCTGGGGGATGATCGGAGAGACAGGACGATTTGCCAATCTCTCGTTCCCTTTGCTCTGGCAACTGGTGGCTACAGGTCAGCGGGGTCCCAGACAGGGAGCCAGGACAGAGCCGCTGCTGACCCCTGCTGGACATGCAGCACAAGCAACAAATAGACTCTTCATAAGTCACTGTGATTTCCCGCAGTTGTCACAGAAGCACGGCTCCAACCTATTCTGACTGATAAAATGAGTTTGGCGTTTATCTTTCTACTTGATGCTGTTATATTTTTATTGCATATAAATATCTATAAACAATATGTTGCATTGTTGGAGTATTTATTTATTTTGTAAGGTAACATTTATTTGGTAAATCACAGAGGCAGAAAAAGTAACGGGCCTAGGAAACACGCTATAGAGGTAAAGGAAGAGCCCTTGGGGCTTGGGAGTGAGGAAGCTAACGGTAATAGGCCTGGGTCAAGGAGGCGGGGGGAGAGGGCGAAAGGAAAGGGAAAGGAGTGCTCCCGGGAGAGAGAGCACTGGCATAGCTGGAGTTTTTAAAAACACATGCCCGGCGCAGCCCAGGGGTTGAGTGTGAACCGATGAACCAGGAGGTCATGGCTGGATTTCCGGTCAGGCCACATGCCCGGGGTTGTAGGCTGGATGCCCAGTGTGGGATGTGCAGGAGGCAGCCCATCAATGATTCTCTCTCATCATTGGTGTTCCTATCTCTCCCTCTCCCTACCTCTCTGAAATCTATAAAAATATATCTTTAAAAATATATGCATGGAAATAGACTCACAGATACAGGGAACAGACTGATAATTGCCAGAAGAGATGGGTGCTGGGGGACTAGGTGAAAAGGGCAAAGGAATTGGGAAGGACAAATTGGTAGTTACAACATAATCAGGGGGACGTGGAGCACAGCATAGGGGATATAGTCAGTAATATTATAATAACAGCTATGTACAGTGCCAGGTGGGTACCACAAATATCAGGGGAATCACTCTGTAAATTACATGACTGTTTAACCACTATGCTGTACCCCTGCAACGAATACAAAAAAAAATATTGACTATAAACTAATTAAAATTTTTAAATAAAGAAAGAATACATGCAAGGTTTCATGTCATATGATTTTGCTTCTTTTACCCAACATCATGTTTCTGAGGTCTATCCAGGCTGATTTCTATACCTCTAGCTCATTGCTGCTGGTTTATAGAGTCTCCCATTGCACAACACCAGGAATTTATCATTCTCCCCCTATGGATGGACAGTCACAGCAGGGCCAGTTCTTTGTGGTTACAAATAGTGCCTCAGTGAATGTCCTTGGACATATCTCCAGGGGCACATGTGCGAGTTTCTCTAGGGTATATTCCGGGAAACGGAATCGCTGAGTGGGAGGGCGTGCTCATTTGCAACTTTACCAATTGCCAAATTTCTCAAAAGTGAATATATCAACAATACTTCTAAAAAATTTTTTTGCCCCCATCCACTGCCTCTATATATTACAACTGCCCACATTTTTCTTAAGTCTCTCCCACAAACTCTCCTCCAGCCCTTACCCTCACGCCAACTCCTATAAAAGCCCAAGAAGCTCAGGTCTGGCAGGGCCTGAGTGAGGGCAAGGAAGAAACTGGGTCAGGCACAGCAGAGACCTCTGTGTCATGGGAGTGTGGGAGAGGATGGGAGAAATTCTCGGACCAGCATATGTTAATAATCTGTGTTGAGTCAGATAGTGCCGGGGGATAAATGTAGCTGCCAGGTGTTCCAAGGCACCACAGACTTGCAAAAGCTGAAGAGCTACTTCTTTCTAATGGGCCAGGGAAGGGCCCTTGAACAATTTTCCAAAATAGTTGTAGGGTAAAGGGCAGTCAAATGTGTAAAATTCCACCCTGGGGCTGGACAGTGGGTCTCAGGGGCCCTCCTCCACCCAGCCTCACAGTGAGGCTGAGACCTGCTATGACACCTTTCTCATACATGGGCAGCAGAGAAGTTAGGAAATCTTGCCTAAAAGTTTATCAATAATTCCATTTCCTCTTGTTTAATCTCCAAGTCTCAACAATTCAAATCCTTTAAAAACCATATAGTCACATCCTCCCACAACCACGTCAAAATTATAACTACAGAACAACCATCATTCGGAACTGCCTGAAATCCAGCTGAACAGAAGTCCCATAACTAAGGCTAAAAGAAGCCTTCGTCTCCAACAAGGTAATTGCTGATGTAAAGATGGTATTTCAGCCCTAGCCTGTTTGCTCAGTGGGTAGAGCCTCCGCCAGTTTCGATTCCCATCAAGGGTACATGCCGGGGTCGCAGGCTCAGCCACAGTAGGGGGCGTGCAAGAGGCAGCTAGCTGATCAATGATTCTCTCTCATCATTGTTGTTTCTCTCTCCCGTCCTCTCTCTCTAAAATCAATGAGAATATGTTAAAAACAAAACAAAACAGTGAAAATGCTTGAACTCTGTAGCCACACGAGCTGGACAGAAGTGCGCAACGATAATGCCTTGGTTCATGGGGAACAGGTTACCGATCAGACACTGAGCTTTTCCTTCACCGTTCTAGACTCAAACCCAAACTAAACTCAGACGCAAACCAGCTCAGTATGACTTTAAAATGTCAGTTCATGCCAAAACCGGTTTGGCTCAGTGGATAGAGCCTTGGCCTGCGGACTGAGGGGTCCCAGGTTCGATTCCGGTCAAGGGCATGTACCTTGGTTGCGGGCGCATTCCCGGTGTTTCTGTCTCTCTGTCTCTCTCCCTTCCTCTCTGTAAAAAATCAATAAAACATTTAAAAAAATAAAATAAAATAAAATGTCAGTTCATAACCAACTGGAAAGTCTTGGGAAGAGGCACACAGGACTACGATTGATCCTCCCAGATGCACGGCCGCACCCGGACCAACTGCTACATACGCACAGCAGGTGCCCCCTTCTGTCTGGGTCTGGACTGAGGCAGGGCTACTGAGCAGTCTGCGCCCGCTTCCTCCTGGGAAGTGACTGCTCCGGGCGCCGCACAGGACCGCCGTCAGCACAGCAGCTCCCAGCCTTCCCTCTGGCCGCTCCCCTCGGGTGGTGCAAAGACTCCAGGCTGTCACTTCTGGGCGGGGCTCCCACTCAGCTGCGCGCGGCTTCTAGAACGTCCCAATTCCCCCTTTCATCCTCTTTCCATTTCGCAGTTGGGCAAACTGCGGCTCGGAAAGACAAAGGCCTTCTGGGAAGCGGAAAAGCAGCCCAGGCTGTACCCACCGTTCCGCACCGTGGGCGGGACGGAGGACGGAGGACTGAGGCCAGAGGAAGAACAGAGCCCTTCACGGGTTAAAACCATGAAGTTGCGGAGGACCCCTCCCCAGGCCTAGAGAGACCCGGCCCCTCTAACCTATCCCCTTCCCACTTCCAATTTCCGGCATGCGCGACTTCCTGTTCCGGCAATGGGCTACAAAGCTTTGCGCCGGGGCTGGGGGCTCCCTTTCTCGGAGTCGCTTGTGGGGTGTCTGCTCCCGTGGTGAGCTGCCTCTGAAGTGGCAAAGGTGCAGGTGAACCCCCCATCCCCCCGACTCCTTCCCCGCGCGGTCTGTTGGGAGCCGGGAGGCCCTGCCCTTGGGGTCGGCCGGCCGCTCCGCCTGGCGTGACGTTGGGCGTCACCTCAGCGGAGGAGTAGGAGGTCTCGGCCGGAAGCGCGTTTCCGGCCCGGCCTGGGCCTCCGGAGCCGCGCCCGTCGTGGTGGGAGGAGTCGGCCTGGACGCGGGGGGTTTTCCTCGGCTCAGCGGCCCCCCCACGTGCCCCCTCTCTCCGAGCCTCAGTTTGTCTGTCTGTGACTGGGAAAAATTAACTGTCCCACTGGGTTATCGGGAGGATTGGACGAGGGAGAGCTGCCGCGGAGTGTCTGGCCCTTGACATCCAACCAATAGCGGCGGCTGCTGTTCGTAAGGTGCTCAACACAGGCCGATAGGAAATAGTGTCGAGGAAACGAGTCCGTAGGAGGTGGGTGCGGGCAGCGTCGGGCGGCCATCTGAACGGGGCGGGTTTGCCTGCTCAGTGGTTAGAGCGGAGCCCGCCCGCCACCGCGCCGGGCGCGTGCGGGAGGCGCGCAGTCGATGTGTGTCCCATCCATGTTGCTCTCCCTCTCCCGCCTCCCTCCTATCCATTCTCTAAAAAGTAAAGGAAAAAATGTCCTCGGGTGAGGATGAAAGTAAAATAAAATATAACTGATGGGCTCTGCCCGGGCCAGTGTAGCTCAGTTGGGTTTGATTCCCAGTAGGGGCCGTGCAGGCAGACATTTCAAAATGAAAAACACACACACGCCCAACAACCCACATTAGGAAAATAAATAAAACGGGTAGGCTTTAAAAGCTGGGTTCCTCTTTCAGAGCCCACCGTGAGAACTGACCTACTGACCAATGGTACTTTCTAGAAGCCGGGGTTGTGAAGGCCTGGATGTTGGAAATTAGAATTACGAAAAGGGCGTCTCCCTAAGTGGGTTAGGGGTTTTTCACTCAGGTTTTCTCCCCGGAGTTACGGAAGTGACACGTAATTGTGGTTAAAAAGCAGTACGTTGGAGCGTGGTCATGCTGCACACGGAAAGGCGGCCGGTTGGATCCCAAGTCGGGCCCACAGGGGGGCCGCCGGTTCATCTCGCATCGTGTGTATCTCGCCCTCCCCCGCTTTCTGAGATCAATCATATGCTTGGGTCAGGGTTAAAAAGTTAAATACAGAAAGATCTAAGATTTCCTCAGATGGGACTGTGCAGATTGGCCACCTGATGAGGTGGTGACTTACGGACATCTTCACATTTCAACACTAGGCCTACTTCATTTTTTACCCCCAAATTGATTTGAGAGAGAAATGGAGAAAGATATCAGTTTGTTCCATTTATTTTTATAATTTTTTTAAAGATGAAGGAGCTTGAGTTTTACTTTTATTTTTTTTTTGATTTTACAGAGAGGAAGGGAGAGGGATAGAGAGAAACATCGATCAGCTGCCTCCTGCACACCTCCTACTGGGGATGTGCCCGCAACCAAGGTACATGCCCTTGACCGGAATCGAACCTGGGACCTTCAGTCCGCAGGCTGACGCTCTATCCGCTGAGCCAAACCGGTTAGGGCTGTTCAGTTTATTATTCATTCATTGGTTGCTTGTATGTGCCCTGACTGGAGGTTGGACCCATGACCATTTTTTATTGATTGATTTTTTAAAGAGAAAGAGAAACATCAACCTGTTCCACTATTCATGCATTCATTGGTTGCCTCTTGCACGTGCTCTGACCAGGAGTCAAATCTGAAACCCTAGCACATTGAGACAACACTCCAGCACTCCAATCAGTTGAGCTACCCCGTCCAGGGCCAATGGATCTGATTTTAAATGTCAACACTTCGCCCTAACCGGTTTGGCTCAGTGGATAGAGCGTCGGCCTGCGGTCTTAGGGGTCCCAGGTTCGATTCCGGCCAAGGGCATGTACCTTGGTTGCGGGCACATCCCCAGTGGGGAGTGTGCAGGAGGCAGCTGATCGATGTTTCTCTCTCATCGATGTTTCTAACTCTCTATCACTCTCCTTTCTTCTCTGTAAAAAATCAATAAAATATATTTTTTAAAAAAATGTCAACACTTCTGTGTGGATTAGGGAGAAATTAGTTCTTAAGGGAGGGGAGTTAATGAAAAAACATGATCTCTGAAAGCTGCCTACATAATAGGAGTTATATTTTTGATTGGACATAACCTGTGAAAATTAATTTAGTCATTACTGTCATTTGAGTTTCTTCCCCCTCTTATAAAATAAATTAGCAGCCCAGCCATTGTGGCTTCGTTGGTGAGGTTGGGTTTGAGTCCGGCAGGGCACAGCTGTGGGTTTATTCCCCAGTAGGTGGTGTGCAGGAGGCAACTGGTCTGTGTTTTACTCCTCAGTGTTATCATCTCTTCCCCTTAAAATCAATAAAATTAACATAAGGTGTGGTTTTCCTGTAAATAACCCCTCTTTTGGACTGGGACCCTAACCCAAATGAAACAAAGCCCTTCTTTCCTGGCATTTTACAGGTATTTGATGGGCCCACTCCATTCTTCCCACTACGTTGTTTTGCTAAAGCTGAAGCTATTAGGCATCCAGAGAGATTCTGAGAAGTTCAATTTCCCATACAAATTGGTAGTTACAAAATAGTCATGGGGATGTAAAGTTCAACATAAGGAATATAGTCCCAAATCTACATTTTTCATTTTGGTAAGCCACACATTTTCTCAATTGTGTTAATTGATCCAACAAGAAGAAATAGAAGTAGAATTTCTAATAGCTTTATTAAGAAAACCTATTGAGCCTGGCAGGTGTAATTCAGTTGGTTGAACATTGTCCCGAGAGATTGCTGGTTTAATGCCTGGTCAGGGCACATGTCCCGTTTGCCAGCTTGATCCCCAGTAAGGGGGCATGCAGAAGACAGCTGATCAATGTTTCTCTCTCTAAAAAGCCATAAAAACAATTTTTAAAAAGAAAATCTATTAAATGGAAACAGACTCATAGATACAAAGAACAAACTGATGGTTGCCAGAGGGGGTTGGTTAGGAGGATGCATGCAAAAAGTGAAGGGTTTAAAAAATACAAATTGGTAGTTACAAAATAGTTATGGCAATGTAAAGTTCAACATCTATCTATGCCTAAGCGACTTATGACCAGACAACCAGCTGGAAGCTATGACACACACTCACCACCAGGGGGCAGACGCTCAATGTAGGAGTTGTGTGTCTGTGTCTGTGTCTGTGTCTGTGTCTGTGTCCCTGTGGTCAGTGCTCCCACAGCTAGCCAACCTCCTGCAGTCCACCCCCCCGCCCCCTGCACAAATTCATGCACTGGGCCTCTAGTAGGGAATATAATCAGTAATACTGTAATAGCCATGTATGATACCAGATAGGTACTTGATTTATTGGGATCATTTTGTAAATTATATAATTATCTTTACTATGCTGTGCACCTGAAACCAATATAAAGTAATACTGAATGTCAACTGTAGTTGAAAAGTAAAATTTAAAAACTATGCATCTCTGAAAAGAAAGAATCTGTTAAAATCGGAAAACTAATGGAACCTGTGTCTGGACCAGATCCAGGAGATTGGGTGGTTTTAATAGCCTTGGTGGTCTGTTTTTGCTGACTCTGACTTCTCCCTTTGTACCTAGGGGCCTGTGAGTCATCCTTTTCCAGAGTTCCAGAATGGAGACTGAAGGAGACCCAAAGGCACAAAAAGATAGAGAAGTCCAGAATGATCAAATAATGTCACCTCCAAATGAGGTGGTGGCTAAGGAGCCAGAAGATGTCCTAACAGCGGCTCCCCAGGCCCAGGTTCCACAAGAGCCTTCTGGGCATCCGCCAAAGAGCCTTGAAAACGTTTGTGTCAAAAATGTTCAGACCGGGCCAGGAAGGAATCCTGTCAATCCTCTCGTCTTCAGGCAGATGTTCAGAAAGCTCCGCTGTGAGGGTCCATCTAGGCCCCGGGAAGTCTTCAGGCATCTGCTAGCGCTTGCTATGCAGTGGCTGAGACCCGACATTCACACAAAGGAGCAGATGATAGAAATGCTGGTGCAGGAGCAATTCCAGATCATCCTGCGTGAGATGCTCAGAGCTCAGCAGCAGAAGTGTCCGTCCATTGTCAGATACCCTGGCTGAGTCTCGCTGCTTATTTCTCGCTCAGCCTACATCTGAGATGTTTGCTTAAAGGTTCTCTTTGTAAGTTCTTATTACAGTCATGGGAAATCTAAACCTCAATTTCCTTTGAATTTGCTTTTGACTAGTTGTAACAAATCAATCAAAACCCATGTCTGGACCTGTTTTTCCTGAGGCAGCTGTTTCCTGGGACTGAACTCCAGAAGGACAATCTGCCCTCTTGTTAGGACAATCAGCCTGCTGTTTGTTTTGCTCTGCTGACTGTCTTTTTGCACTTTGTGACATCCTTTAATATATTGTTTTTATGAATCCAAAGAGGTAATTACTTTAACTTGCAGAATTGTTGATTCTTGCTGTTGTGGCATGAGTGGGAACTTCTGTAACCTCACCAGTAACTCATTTGGGATGTCCTTGAAATATTAAAGTTTGTTTGGTTCTTAAAAATGTCCTGTGGTAATTTATCAGTGTAGCTCTTAGTAGTCGGCATTTGAGAAAAATTGTCAGGAATAGAGCTAGAGATAAGAACTATAACACATTTGCTGAGCTGGGAAATAGGAACAGGCCTGGCCTTTGTTTTCAAAGTCAGAATTTAAATTGGACAAAATGGGGTCATAAGAGGCAAATAACAGGCAGAGCTGTTGAATTGCTCTTTCTCCATTTCCATTACCTTTGTTCTACAGCTTGTCTTCCTGCAGAACTCATTCTGAAGCTGTCTGACAATTCTGTTCTGGTCTTCCTGAAACAGGTCATCCTGGCTTTCTGTGTATGGAGACCTGTACTTTGGTTCAGACAGCTGAGGCGGAGCAGTAGCTGTGGTTGTGACAGTAAACAGCAACTGCTTCCCCAGCACCATCCAGTCTGAGGAGCCTTTCTACCTCTGTGGCCTGGCTCTTGGATTTATAGATCTGCTCTGGTAACAAACTCGGTGCCAATTCACAACTGATCTTTTGGGTTAGGGATGATTAACTCCATGCTTCTGGTGTTTGCTTAGTACTTGGGCCTTTGGAACTGTTCTAGATGCTAGAATACAAATATAAAATATGGTGAACATAAAGACAAATGAACTCTGCCCCTTACTAACTAGGTTAAGCTTTTCTATTCTTAATTCTAGGAATAAATTTAACTTGGCAAAGGAGTTAGTAATGCTGATAGGGTCCTAGTATCTCTAATACTTCAGTTTGTTCAAAACATTGTGAAGGTATTTCCTTTGGTCTGCAGGAATCAGGAATTCCTGGTGTTAAGGAATTTCCTAGCCTGCACCAGTGTCTTAGCTGTTTCAATGATCTCAAGTTTTGCATGCAGGTAAAGGGGTTTTCTGGCAAGACAGCTGAGGTTTACTGAATTGAGTGAACCTAGCAGATTTTTTTCAACCATGGCCCTTTGGGTCCAGATAATTATTTGTGGGGGTTGTCCTATGCATTATAGGATCTTTAGCAGCATCCCTAGCCTCTAACAATTAGATGTTAGTAGCAGCCCCCCATATGTGACAACCAAAAATGTCTCCAGGTATTGCCAAATACCCTGTTAGGGCAAATTTGCTCCTGGTTGAGAACCAGTGATTTAATAGAGGTCATCACAGACATGCTTCATAAGCAACATGGCTAATAAGTGGTGGAACTAGAACCTGAGCCTTGGATTTCTGTCTCCCTAGTCGTGGGCTTTTTACCTTCATGTTTGGAAATGTTAACGAGTGTCTCTTAAGAATCTCCTGTGTGCAAAATGTATTTATTAATATACGTATATATTGAGTGATTGATTTCAGAAAGGGAGAGAAAGAAACATCATTGAGAGAAAATCATTGATTTGCTGCCTCTGCATGCCCCACACTGGGGATGGAGCCCGCAACCTGGGCATGTACCCTGATTAGGAATTGAACCGTGACCTGGTTCATAGGTTGACGCTCAGTCACTGAGCAGCACCAGCTGGGCCAGAATAGTTTTTTTTGTATGGCTCATACCTAGTTTCACACTTCTTAGTAAAAAATGCAAAGTGTAGTGTATTTAGGTAGGAGTCAACCTCCAAAGTGTGAGGTTTAGGGAGGTTAGTGACTGAGCCAAGACCCAATCCCCTTGTTATAAAACCAGAATTGGTACAATTCACAATTTCCCAGCAACCTCTGTAGTACCAGTTCTTTCCCATGGAAGTGAATTACAGATGAGATTTCTTGCCCCAAACAAACCCAGTAAGAGGAGAAGCTAGAGTTCATCTCCGATTCATCTGGCTTTACCCCATACCCTGCCACAAGGTCACATTGCCTGGATATCTAAAAGTAAACCAATTCTAAAGCACCCTGACAATTTTAGTTCTGTGAGTGACGGGGAAGGAAGAGGACAGTGTGGAGGAACCAGAGGGAAATATTTCTAAAATGTCTCGTGTCTAATTTTCCCTTTGTGACTCCATATTCCACAAAAGATTAATTATTTTAAAATGCTCCTACCAGATGGCTACTGGTGAAAAATCAGTTTGGGGCCACAAAGTAATATGAGATTGCTAGCAACTGGCTAGCAATGGTGCCATGGGAAAATGTCTGAGTGAGTGGGTGACAGCCCTGGCTGCTGGAGAGATGGCCAACTCCAGGAGGGGTGGGGGTTATTAGGGGGCCGTGGTGATGGCAGCTGGAGAACGCAAGTGTAACTGGCCTTCCCAGGAGCATCATGTGTGGTCAGTTTCCACAGACCACTCAGTATAATGCACTTAACAATGACGACTATTTTGCTAAACATTTTCCACCCACTGCCATGCATGTATTGGACATTTTTCTTTGAACTGGAATGCCCCTCCCCCAATCTGCCAGCCTACTCCTATTCTTTTTTTTTAAACCCTCACCCAAAGATATTTTCTCCATTGCTTTTTTTTTTAAAGAAAGAATGGAAGGGAGGGAGGGAGGGGGAAGGAGAGAGAACCATCAATTGGTGGCCTCCTGAAAGTGTCCCCACCAGGGCCTGGGATCGAACCTGCAAACTACATGCCTTTGGGAATCGAACAAACCTGAGACCTTTCAGTGAGTGGGCCAATGTTCTAACCACTGAGAACACTGGCCAGGGCTTCTAAAAATATATATGTTTTTATTGATTTGAGAGGGAGAGAAACAGCAATGTGAGAGAGAGAATGATCTGAAACCCCTGATGGGGATAGAGCCTGTAACCTGCATACTAGTATGTACCTTGACGTGGAATCTAACTGGCCACCTTTGGTGCACAGGACAATGTCAGGGCTCCTGTTCACTTTTTATTATGCAGATAGGCATGGTCACCTTCCTGAACTTTTTGTGATGTCTGCCTTGAATTGGCATCTGAAGCCCTCCTGTGAGCTGTTCTAACACATCAGTCCCTGTTCATTCAACAAATACATACATTGTGTACCCAACGTGCTATGCCCTGTTCTACACATCACACTGTAGTATAGCTTCTAGTTTGTGTTCTCAGGCAGATTGTGAGCTCCATGAAGATGACATCTCTATATTCTTGGCCTCCAACACAAGTCTTGCATGTGGCTGATTCTCAAGGAACAGTTTGGTATTTGTAGGAGACGCATGGTTGCTCCCTGATTTAAGTTGTTTCCTTCTAGTAAACACAAATAACTAGAGTTCACTAAGTGTTACATTGGGAAGAGGACAGGGAGTGAGATTATTTATTCACGTGTAAGGGCTGGTGATGGCAGTAAAATTAAACCAGAGAAGAAAAAAAAAAGGCCTCTTCACTTAGGCTTAACCCGGGTGACTGGCTTCCTTCCCCATTCTGTACCTGACCTTGCAATGAGGTGATGTTAGATACTGGCTCTACTTGAAAGCTCAAGGGCCCCTTTAGTGCCTAGCAACAACCTCACTGCCTAGAATGGTGATTTTGAGGCTGGGTGTGTCTCCTGGGCAGGAAGCCACCTACACCGCCCAAGCGGCCAGGGCCTCCCCTCCACTTCCTCCGAACTCAAACTCTGCCTTGGATTGGAGCCAATACTTAGTGTTTTGGAGCCCTGTCTTAGGGGCACAAATGGGATGTTTCTAGCAAAGATAACTCTAGTATTTACAGGGGATGTGATCTCAGACAAGTCACGTCACCTCTCTGAACTTCCGCTTCCACACCTGACTTATTCCTAGCTAGGATCACCCTAGCACAGCACTGGAGGCAGGCACATTCAATAAATGCAATTGTATCTGAATCTGCTTGGTTTGGGGAAGATTCGGTTAGATTTCTCAGCTGTCCCTTTGATCATGTTCTGTTCTTGCTCCAGCTTCTATTTGCTAATTCCTATACATAAAATCCGGTTCTTAGCCCACTCCTGCACATCCCTCTCCTTAGTGCTTATCTTATTCACAGGCATTCCATCTCATCATCGAAGAAAATTCTGCACTTCTTAGAAAATCACAAGTGTTTTGTTTTTTACACCAATACTGTAGTGACCTTTAATTTTTAAAAACTTAAATATAACACGCATCATGTCAAGTGCACAAGTCTTAATGGCACCAAGTGGGCACACCCCTATAACCACCTTCCAGGTGAAGATACAGGCTATAATCGGTACCTCAGGAGTCTCTCTCATGCCCTTTCCTAGTCGATCCCCTGAGAGTAACTGCTGATAGG